GCTCCTTTATCCTCCATGGAAGCTTCCCACGGAATCCCTCCTGACTGAGCTCTGAGCGAGCTGAAGTTTGCTCTTCTAAAATCTAGAACCCTTGTCTTGGTGCTAACCTTCAGCATGCGCAGCCCGATCCCGAGCTCCACAATATTGTGATCACTGCAGCCAAGGTTGTTACTGACCAAGATATTGCAAAGCAGGTTTTCTTGGTTTGTGAATAGCAAGTCCAGCACTGCCTCCTTCCTGGTGGTGTGTGCTTCCTATACTCATCAGAAATCACTGCTATATCCTCTAAATGCTCTTTCAATACATAAATCTCAAAAGAAAGGCTAAATGAAACTAGAAAAAGTCTGAAATTAGTATTGGAAGTGCATATTATATGAAGTAAAAGAGAAGCTAATGACATTTTTATTAACCAAGAGTAGCCTTCTGAGAGTACTTCTAAAATCTTTTTGGGGTAGACAACTAGTAAATCTCAAGAAAGGGAAACATTTCCACTCCTTGACTCATACTTGCCTTATTCCCTGTCATTCACTGTACATCTTGTCTCATTACCCCATTCGCTCTTTTTTGTGAGCCCTGAATGCTTGCCTCAGTCCACTTTCTGTAGATCTCCAGAGACACACATTACATGAGCATCTTAGCAGATTAACACGAACTGGGGCTAAAAGAGATATAGGGTGATGCACCAGCATAGAAATCATTTCTCTTTCCTCACTAGAGTGGTGTTATTCAATAACTGAGCTTTGACAAAAATATCTGGAAAAGTATAATATGACACACAGGGACTAAACAAACTCCTGATATGTGACATTAAAGTTGTATTGGCCAAAGTGTGAAATAAAAGCTGTATGTAAAGATGACATATCAATTAGCAAGTTATACAGTTCAGCCCAAATAAAAGCAGATAAAGTTTGTAGATCTATCATTTTATTATGGTAACAGTTTTGTGTATGTTCTAACTTACCGAAAAAAGTCTTGCTTTGAGACGTTTTCTTTTTAACTTTTAATACAACCCTTTTTCTTTTCATTGCTGCCTGCCCAACTGCAAAACTACACTGTCTTATCATTTAAGCTTTATGGGACAGAAATGCTATAAATAAAATGCCTCTTCAATAAATCTTCACCCAAACATTCATACTCTGACATCTCTCAACCTAATAGGACTCAAAACAATTGCTGTGTTCTGCTGAAAAGGAGGAATCTCAGCTCTCCTATATGGCAAATCGTTACCCTCCCCCCATGTTTGATTCATCAGCTTTTAAATCTAAGTAATGCTCATCCTATATCTCTAATCAGTATGTGAGAGGGAAAGAAGGAAAGGAATGCACATGTTGGATTTTACATATGTTGGAGAAAAAAGGCATAATTGGAACATACTCTTCCAAAAACTCTCAAGAGTTTAGAATTGCAGCTAATGCTGAAAGATGGATGAAAAACTCAAGAATGTGTAGTAACTGCCAGGTGGTGTGGAAACAGGAAAAAAAAGAGTTGAACTACTTTTACAGAATTCTTATTTCATAAATTCGTAACAGAAACCTACAGAGGGATATAAAACAAAACCAAAGACTTTAGCTATAGTTATGCAAAGAAAGTCACTTTCTGCAAACCTCTGTGGATTTTTTTCTATTAATAAATCTTATGTAACATTTCAAAAACATTTTAATTGATCTACAAAAAAGACGTACATATTTTTAAAGATGCAACATGCAATCTATCAGCAGCAAATATCAAAAGGGCATGATAAATTCTACTGAGATGACACTTTTGACTTTTTTGTTTCTTGTGAGAAAACTGATTTAGGGGAGTTTAAAACAGAACTAAAAAGCAGCTGAAAATTTTCATGTGTTGATCAAAACTTCCATTAAAACGGTTACAATATTAATGCTTTCCAAAGGTAAGATCTCGCCTGTGAGGTTCGCATAAAACCTTCTCCTAACTGAACAATTTACAAGGGTCATGCAACTAATTGCAAATCACTGATAAATAAATTCTTGCCTGGTAAGTAGAAAAGAATGTCGCAGCTAGATCATCTCTTACCACTGCATTCCAGAGGGTTAAAGAAAGAGATCTACATGATATTGCTAAGTTACTAAAATAATTTAAATAATTATGAGAAGATTTAAAATGCATAAAGACCATTCCACTCTTGGGCTTGAAAAAATACTAAGCGGCAACATTTTCCTTTTTATCTGTTAGGGTTACTTGCTATAGTGTTCTGTCATCCAAATGCAGAGAAAAATACTGATGCTGTCGATAGCATGATGTCAGCAACAATACTATTTTTGACAGTGTATGATAGAAGTGTATTTAAAAAAACCACTTCAAAATCTCAACTTATTTCAATATGATTCAAATTAATCAATTAAAAATACTGTTTCTAGAAGTTCAAAGGTATCGTATTAAACTCTGTAATCACAAATTTGCAGGACCAAAGAAGAAAATACACCGCTGTTTGGTAAGACTTGCCCATGCAAACAATGACAAATGAGCTCTCATTTGCTTTCTTTACATAAAGGCCAGGAGAATAAAATTTGGAGGAAGTAAGTGTGAGCAAACACTAAAACAAATGTACATTTTAGAATCTAACTATTTCACAAAATGCCAGTGGCACATTTCAATAGAAGTAATTTTAATTCTGCAATGATTCTGCCATAAAGGGACACTGTCAAATAATCAGGTTTACGAATGCTTTGTACATGGGAATGGCTTGGGAATAAAGTTTAAAAGAAACACATACAATCCTGAAGTATATATTACTTACTTTTTGTCAGTAGTTTGCTTTAATGCACCACCTCTCAAATTGCAGAGACAACATTCCTAAAAATAAAAATAAAAATAGTGTAGAAAAAAGTGAGTTTTATTGACTGGTTACAAATCAGTTTTATTCAGCTGATCTTAAGGATATGTAAATTGCTAATGTAATTAATTACTGGGTTACGAACTGCCACTTATAAGCATGGCATTTCCTTACAGGAAAAATACAAGAACATAGTAATGAAAAGAGAAACTCAAATGAGCTAAAAAAAAAAAAATGTTAAGTATTATTCATAAACAAAGTGACAGAATCTTTTTGAAAGTGATACTAAATAAAAAGGCATTTAATCAGTACTACCATAGAAAGGCTGGAATTGCCATACAGATTACTAAGGTAAAACAAAGTAAAATGACACATAATTAGTTCAATAGAAGTTATTGAGAAACTGACTCACAAGCCATTGATCCAACTCAAATACTTTGAAATCCTGCTTGTTCCTGACAGTTCTCAAATTTATAAACCTAGGGAATATGGGGCAGGTTATCCTTTTTTTTTATTTTTATTTTTTATTTTTTTCTCCTCAAAAGTTCCCTTTGCTGCAGTACACCTTCACTGCCTTAATCTCCAGTACCACTCCATCTGCTTTCAGGGCACTCAGCAAAGTATATTTCAGTGGTTCCCAGATAATATGCCAAACAGGACTTTTCCTACCTTTACTTAAAACTGTGCCTTTGAACACATACACAGGCTTTTCTACTTTCCAGCTGTCATGGTTTAACCCCAGTCAGCAACCAAGCGCCACACAGCTGCTTGCTCACCCTCCCCCCACAGTGGGACAGGAGAGAGAATTGGGAAAATAAAAAAAAGACAGTTTAATAGGACAGCAGAGGAAGAGGAAATAATAATAATAATAATAATAATAATAATATGATGATGATGATGATGATGATGTTTCAATTATTAAACTGTTCTTATCTCAACCCATGACTTTTCTCACTTTTACCCTTCCAATTCTCTTCCCCCAGTCCTGCTGGGGGAGGAGTGAGCAAGTGGCTGTGTGGTGCTTAGTTGCCGGCTGGGGTTAAACCACGACATATGGAACTAATGAAATGTTTAGTGTTCTGTTGGTATATAGAGAGGATTTTTATGCAGCAATTGCTACATTTAAATGCCTTGGTTACCAAACACAGATAATTTGTTCCCTATATTCAAAAAAGAATTAACCATGAAACTTGCTGGGTCACTAATATTGATTTCTGACAAACCTCAGTACAGCTGCCATGTTCTAGAGGACAAGGGAAAAATTTGTCATGACAACACTGAAAAAGATAAGTGGAATGTTCAGGAGAGTAAAATCTGGGTAACAAGTCAGTGGGACACATACAAAAAGGCTCTCTGATATGGAATTTAGTCCGTATAGACCTAAAACACAACTACATTATTCTTGCCAACTATGTACAAAATGAAGTCAAGATATTCTGTGCCTGTATATCTATACTCAGAAACAGAGCTTGTCTCCTGAACCTCTAAATTTAAGTTGCCCTTGCAGGGGAAGAAACAAACGAAACCGAAACAAAACCCCCAAACAACTGTTATGTAATACTCCAGGTTGACCTTGTCTTAAAAACTCCAATAATGAAGATTATCAATGCCTGCCAGAAATCCAATGGAATGCTTTATTACATTTCCTATGAGAAAGACCTTTCCTAACTAAAAACTACTTCCTTGTGACAATTGAATCTTCTTTGCAATTTAAGCACATAACTTTTTGCCTTACCTACCAAAACCATGGGGAACAGGTAACCCATCCTCTTACAGAGTACCCTTTTAACTATTTAATATTATTGTAGAGTTGTGAAGAAGAGAATTGAGGTTCATTACTTTACCCACAAGAGCCCAGATCATGGTTCCCTCTGTAATAGTAAACATTAACTATTAAATCAGGAAACCAAAAGGCTCAGAATACCAATTCCTTCAGGTATTCAAAGGGGACTGAGCAGGAACAGGTAGTTTCAGTATATGAAGAAGAAAAATGGAACATAAGGAGGCTGCTACTGCAGCACTGAGTAGGAGTTTCAGCTTGTACTGTTTGTAACTTTTGGTGGCCTCTTCAATAGAGGAAGCAGATCACATGGAGGACGGCATCACTGCATAGGTTTTCTCCATTTGGCTGTTGGAGAATAAGTAAAACTGTTTCTTCCAGAACCAACATTTGTATTCAATTAGCTGAACCTTTGTGAGGTTCTCTTGCCACATCTTAGGAAACTTGCTCTTGTATCAAGCCCAACACAAGACGACAGGGTGGAGGGGTAGTGGAGAGAACAAGTGGAAGAGACAACATAGGAAGGAGAAAGGGATGGAGGGAGACAGGGAGAAAAGGAGGGAAGAAGGCAGGGATGGAGGGAGGGAGGGAGAGAGAGAGGGAGAGAGGGAGGAAGGAAAGGGGGACGGAAGGTTATTTCTTCTCTTTCTTCCCTAAGTGCCCACGCTCTTGAAGGTAAAGCAAAATGGCAGGAACCAGAATTCCTCTAATACTATTTACTCTTCCACTTCTCTGTCAAAAAGAGATCAAGTCAACAAACTTCATGTCATTCACATGCCAAATTCAGTCTAATGTACCACCTCCTATTTTAGTTTCAAATCTCTTTGACATGCTGTTCAACCACTATACATAATCACCCCTTTCTTTCCTATACATAATTATCTTCCAAATATTTGTAGATTCTCATGATGTCCTAACCTTTTGGTATATTTTTTGCCAAGCTATATACACTAAATTTCCTTAACTATTCTTCAAGGTGATTCAAATCATCTTCACATTCTCTTTCTGTCTGTTGCCCTTTTTGGATGTCATCAGGATAATGAGGTGCTGCCATCTACACAGGTACACTCTCAAGCTATGTAAAGAACTGTTACTATCTTTCTTAACCTGAATATATTTTGGTTTCAAAAAAACATCACTCAACTTAAAAATTTACTGAACTACATGGGTGAGGTAAAGACTTTCCTAAACTAGATGCTAAAGAATCACAGTATTAAGACTTTCTAGACATTAATGCACCATGCTGAAATTATTCTGAAATAACACAACAAAAATTCTGCTTAACAGTTAATGGGCACAGTGCACTGTTTCCAGTAAAGTACAACTACAGTCATGCGAAATTTGCTTCTAATTGGCATTCAGTTCTCAAAGGCAAGCACTTACATATGAAAACTACAGCATGAAACAGTCTGCGGATCTTTAAACCTTCCTGGGAATCCTGAGGACTACCTTACCACAACCACAGAGTAATCCTACAGCACTGCATACTCTTCAAGCTGATTCACCTTAGAATCTTGCTTACAAATTAGCCGAGGAAAGATCTATTTCTTCAGCTCTTCCTTGGACTCATTTGACACCCTGCGTGTCATCTTTTCTGCTATCAGTGTTGTTTATAAACAGAGCTTGGCCACCATCATAGTGAGATACTGACCAACAGAATGCGTCCAACCTGTTAGTTTTACATATGGCAATTGGAGGTGCAAGATAAAAACAGTAAAAATAGTTGGGCACACATCTCCATGACCATGAAAGTAACAAAATAAATGAGCCAAGCAACATATAAAATAATAATTAAAATGGAACAACCATTCAGGAAGAGGCAAATACCACAATCTCCTAAAAAAGGAGCCATGCAGGACTTCTTTACGATCTGGTCCCCAACTCATTTGCAGTTCTCCAGGAGTGTGAAGCTTACAATGTAGAGGTAGAATAACATCTGCAGACTGGGAAAGAGAGCATGAGTCTGACTCAATAGAAATCTTTGCGGGGAAAAGCTTCATTCTCCACTTTCAAACGTAAAAATTCAGTGGATCCCCCACATGTGGATCTCTCATGATTTTCTTTTTCAATTGAAGCACTTTCTTCATATTTGCTATAAAAATCCTTTAACTGACTGCTTCTCTGTTTTGCAGAATAACAGTGATTTTGCTCCTGTTTTATGAGCTTTGATGTTCTTATGCCAGCTTACTTTGAAATTCATTACTTGAATAATGAAGAACTTTTCCTGCTTCTAATAGGTATTTTTTATTTTTAAGGAAAACCTTCATCTGATCATCTGGTGTGTAACTTATTACTGCAACTAGAGAGAGTCCAAGGCCCTAAAGAAGTTCCACAAATAAGTTAAGCTAAAATAGCACAGGAAGAGACTTTATATAAGAAGATGTTCCTGACAAATTTCTTCTGAAGATTTACTGTCTCTTAACCACTGTAAAAATAAAGAACTGCGAATTAGACACTGCAAGAGACAGAAGTCATAATCCTTACCTACTAACTGCAGAGCTTTCACACTAGGTTAAAAAAAAAAGAAAAAGAAATTTTAAAAAAGGGGGAGAGAGAGGAAAAAAAAAATGGCAGCCCAGAGAAAAGAGAAGGTGGCTATAAATATCTTCATTACCAGCTGGAAAAAGATTTCCCCTATGCAGGACCTATAGGAACCAAATTTAATCCCATCTCAGAAAACACCTATACAAATGTTTGGTCAGTAGACAGTGATACAGGCTATAACAAATTAGGCCCGTAAGAACCAGAAAATTTCACCAGTGTTCATGGCAAACATGGGTGGGAAGTACCACAGGCTTAGTGCCCATTAATTCCATTTTGTAAATCATGTCTGTACTGCAATATATTGTCCTATATCCATGCGACATGGCTATTAATTTACCTCGAGTTTCAACATACCGCAAGCAAAGAAAACACAGGGAACCTGATATTTAGAAAGACTAATATTCCTAATACAAGTATACCTGCCATGGATGGCAGAGAAATCACATGTACATTAGCAATCATTACCCATGTTCTGACAGAGAAAGAGAGTGTTTGTACATCCATGTGTGTCTGCTGTCAGCCTATGTGTAAAAATCAGGATAGGAACAGACTTCATTATAGAGCATCACCTTAGAACGTATCCAATCTCTGATTCACTATTACTTCACAAATCCTTTAAACAAGTAATTTTGTCACTTGTATTTGCATTAAATAATAATTTCTTAAGCATATTATTTTACACTTATCTAAATTAAA